ATTTTCAGGCGGAGGTGTTGTTCAGAGTGAAGAAATGTGATGTTCTCAATGTATAGTCTATTATTGGTTACCTGCTCTTTTTTACCTATGAACTCAGAGAGTTTAATAAGAATGTGCGTATATATGCGACCATCAATGGAGAAGTACTTTTTATCATGTGGGGGAAAGAATAATTACAAGAAGGAAATACGCGCGAAATGTAGATGTGGAATTGGAACGAATACAAATGATATATCGTATATGATAACGAAGTGTTTAGAGAGTCTGAGTTACTTTACTCAGGTGTGACATATTGCAGAATCAATTCCTTAAGTAAAGATTATAAGGGAAGCAGTTTCAAACATCAGTATATATTCCAGACATATATCAGGTGTATGGAATTATGGAAAAATATGTGCCTCCCCCTCAATCCACATTATGCTCGGTCCATGAAACATACCCCTGTAGTGGCTTGTATAGGAAGTTATACATTGTATTTCAAAAACAGATAAATAAGGAAAGCAGACCTCTATGGTGTCACGTAAGAAATGTGATAGGATGCCTGTCCATTGTATGAGACTATAGAGTTGATGACTCCCTATATTTCTGTGATACATAATAACATGTCGCTTTAATAGACACAAGGGCAGAATGAAATATGAACAAAGAGTGTTAAAAGTATATATAGTTGTACGGCGAGAATAGGTGTGTACGATGAAAGAGAGTATTTATAAGTTGGTTGGTCTTTCGCTTTTTTCTGTGTCCTCCCTGTTTAAGTTGCTAATCTTATGTGTTTAGTGTGATATTTCTGATGAGATTCAAAGAAATCTCTGTACAAGTTGTAACTCAGGATACAAGTTTGCATGTTCCTTGTAAAGAGAACATGGAATAAAGACTGCGTATGAAGAAAAAAAAAGGAACGCTGCATAAATTTGATATGAGGTGTATCCTGTGAACTTATACGAGTGTATAAGAAATATAATTTCTGTGACGCTTGATTTTCTTCAAAGGAATCCCGGTTCATGGAATAACCATAGTCATTTTTCGGAAAGTATGGAGGAATTTATTACATGAGTCTCCTACCATGAATTCGAAGAATAGTCTCTAGTAGCATCGCATGTTAGATTATAAGAGTGGCCCACAATATAAATCTTCAGTTTCAATCATAGTACATGAAACAGACTAATTAGGATGGCTGCACTTAATAAGGTTGATTTTATTTAGCTCACCTTTACAGGGTCGTTTTATAAGGTAAAAATTAGGGCCACAGTGGCCAAATCGTTGTCGTATTTCATGTAACACCACAACAGAATTGATAACAGTAAACTGAAGGCAGAAGAAGCAAAGAAAAACAGCAATAAAGTGATACAATGGAAGGAAACCCATATAAACTACAAAAGGAAGACACCATAAAAAATAAGGACCGTATACATAACGCGGCGTAGCGATAATTTAAATTAAGGAAAAAAACATGGCCAAGCATATGAAACATATGATGCTACGTGACCTACAGCAGGCCACAGTCGAGAGAAAAATAAAAAAGAATGGTAAAGGATAAA